TTATTAGTTTTTGTTTATCGGGGGTGTATGATTCGGATATTATATATTATTGACAGTCTCCATTAGAACCACTTTAAGTGAGGAAAGAAGCAACTGAACCAGTGGCTAAAACCATCATGGCTCATTAATGCTGGCCTCCTCCACAGAACCTTTCTCTCTTTCCCACCCTTTTCTCTGCCTCTAGTGAAGATGGTGGAAAGAAATCCTGCATCTTTCACACATTTCCATCACAAAACAATATACAGCCGGACTGCCAGTGTGCCCATGCCCTCAACCCCTCTCTACGTAACACTTTAACCTGGGTGCACCTTTCTTTAGAGAAATATAAGTGTGCAGATATAAGGCCCTGAGCTGTACTATAATCACAGATTTCCCTTTAGATATCCTAAAAACAGAATCCATAATTCCATCATGATTTCAATTTTCAGATTTCAGTTCAGCTAGAAGATTTGTAACTCAATTTCCTTCTTTTTTTAGAGCAGGAACCTGCATGAATTCAACGAATAAATGAGATAAGAGCAAATAAAAGTGAATACATTTTTTATAATACATCTGTGCAGCTTTTGGATGAGATACCCACAACCAATATCAAAGATGACTGTGAATCTAAGCAGATAAGAACTCCCTCTAACCTGTTTTATTATACCTGCTGTGCGCCATCAAAATTGTAAGTATTTCAACTGTAAGGACAACTAAATGATCAGATGTTCTTTCTTTCAATGATACATTTATTGTAGTTCGGAATGAAAATAGGAGAATCCTTTTTCACCTGAGAAGGAATCCATATAATTATCTGTATATTAAAAGGTATGATCTGTTGATTTTCTGTGATTTACTACATCTATTGAAATTCTATTACACCTTAATTTCTTGATGATATCAAGGTTAACATTAATGCTAAGAAAAATCATGAAGGTGTAACTGAATAGAGCTCTGCAACATTATTTCTCTTCTCTTTTAATCTCATTTCCAGTCCACATTTATTTTCAGCCAACGCCAATACAGTATGTCTACCTTTGCCTTTCCAGCTCCCCATCACGGCTGTAAACTTTTAACTGCTGGATGTATCTCTGAAGTTTGTCCTTGCAGAATTATCCAGCAAATTATTATAACTAAAAAGTAAAGGAAGATCTCTCATTTACACCTTTACTACCACATTTAGATTTTGTATGTACCCCACAGCATAATTTCATCACTTGATTGCTAATTACTTATAATTCATGAATCCTTGTTTTTTTCCATACTGCAAATCATAATGACATCAGTGGAGAAATATATACACTTTTAAAACAGTATTATTTGCCCCAAATTTGATCCCATTAAACTTCCCCATTTTTAAATTAATATATTCATCCTTCTTTCTACTTAACACAGCTGTCTTAGTTATGTCTATGATTAATTTTACACCCTAACACACCTGTTCTTGGTTAAGAAATCACTTCAATATGACCTGCCTGACAAAATGAAGTGCACCAAAAGATCTTGAAAAGACAGACATCATGCTAAGATCCTAAAAATTAGGGCCAAATGCGAAAGAAAGTAATTAAGATCTATCAGATCCATCTAAAGAGTCCAGTGAACCATGATGCAAGCAGGTATCTACATATTGGGAAAACATTGAAAAGCTGTGAGCTTGAAGTGGCCGACCAAAATTACCCCAAGAGCACAGCAATGACCCATCTAACAGGACACAAAAGATCCAATAACACAGAGACCTCTCACCTTAAAATGCGCTTTTTTGGAATCTGTCAAGCTGCTCCCATCTGCCCGGCTGTGTTTTTCTGCAGGGTGGTCATAGAGGTTATGTTTACTCTTCTTTACAGGTGGATCTTCAGCACAGTTCTCCACTCGCTTTCTCTGCTGCCCAGCAGAACAAATCTATAGACAAACAAGCCAAAAGGAATGTTATTCAGATCTGTGATGTTCAACTAGGAATATTAATGCAAGGGTTGCAACATTAGAAGTATGACTTACTACTATTACTTAATTGGAAAGAAATAAAATGTAATATTTACCTCTACTTTGGAGAAGGGACAAGCATCCAACACAGACTGTTTCTCTGATAGTTTCATATCAGTTGGTTGTTTGTGTGCTGTCTTTTTCTTCTTTGCTGTAGCAACCCCATTCACCTTTTCTGGATTCTTTATGTTACAAGTGGATGAATGCTATTTGATGGGCAGAAAGAAAAGCTAATTTGTGAAATCTAACTCTGATTGTGTTATATCATATGTCAAATCTGATATGTTAAAAATAATTGTGTTAATTGAGCATATAAAAGTTTTAATATTTATATACTAGAACAGATATATTTGCTAAAAAAGTTTGTATAAAAAACTGTTTTTTTCACTGTGTAAGAGCAATAAATAAATATGTATTATTTATTTTAAAGCTATAGAACTGTGTGAAATTAAAACAAAAATTTTGAAACTATTTGTCTGCAAAACAGATCAATCAAAACGGTGAAAAATGTTTTGATCAGAGAAATTTACACAATGTGCAAGTGCTTTATGAGATAAACTTGTATTGATTGAAATTTTCTTTGTTTTAATAAAAAATATTAGAAATAAAAAAGCTGTTTTGCCTTGGGTGATGGAGGCTCTTCTGTTTCAGAATCACTCTCATCTGTTTTGGGTTCCTGGTAACTTTTTGTAGTGGTGGCTGCAGCTCTTCTAGGCCTCTTTGTAGCCACTTGTGGTCTGAGATCTGTTACTTGGTTCACTTTCTTTGGAGGATTGATAATCTTCTATAAACAGATTATACTACAGTGACACACAGTGGCAAAAAGTGATAGTGCTGCAACTTCAGGGACGTACTAATGGCCTACCTGAATACGTTTGCTTTCGCCCTTTACACCTTTTGAAGATATTGATTGCAAATCTCGGGGTGTGTCTGGAAATAAACAGAAGATAGATCATAGCACACTTTATGTTAAGAATCATCTATGTCTTTTTTTTTCCAATGATAACTTTTCCTTTAATACATCCAAGTCTATGGACCTGGAGAATGAGGTGGGGCTGTTTTGGGTTTGAGCTTAGCGTGTCTGGTGTACGTAATGACTTGAGCTTTGGACTTTCTGGAGGATTCTTTTAGCCAGCTGATATCTGTCGGGGCATTGTCTGTGTCAGTGTCACTGAACAGATGCTTTTTCACATGTAGCTTCTTCTGCAAGAAACAAGGTGACAACTGCAGATGTAAAAGGTCAAGAAGCAGCCAATCTTGTTCAAACTAAATTATTTTGACTACTCTTTATTAAACACAACCTAAAATCTCAGCTTACCTTTGCCACAGGTTGTCCTTTCTTAGCTGAGGTGTGAATTGTAGAGTTGTTGTAGCCACTTTAAAAACAACAAACATTAATTAAACACATCCTACAACTTTTTTTTTTTTTTTTATCTCAGAAGTCAAACCTCTGAGGATTTCATTTTACCTTAATTATCAAATTCTGTATAAAATAATTAGGTTTACCTGCTTGATTTGGTTTGATTCTCACCCTAAAGTCAAAGAGAACATTTAAAACATTCATAATTACCGACTGCATTGTTCATGTAGAAAACAATACAGCTCAAAATGAATTTATGCCAAATACACTACTTAAAACATCAAGGGAACACTTTTCAGACAGTATAATATTAAGTAATTTAAACATCTGGAACATTAATCTGGTCAGTTTATCAGCAGAGGGAATTGTTAATAATTTGTTTAAGGTCCTTAAACCATCAGCAGGACTGGTCTCTACCTCTTTGGAAAATGAGGAACTGAATGAGCTCTGCCAGGGCCCTATAAATTGATCTCTAGAGTCAAAAGCTTGAATTTCTCTGACCAAACCATTAGAAACTATCTTAATGAGGGTGATCTGAGGGCTTGACATCCTCTAGCAGGCCCTGTGCTTACTGCCCATGTCTGGTGAGCATGGCTGGCATTTGCTAGGGAACAGTAGAATTGGCATTTTGAGCTATGGCACTCTGTTCTCTAAACATATGACAAAATGTTCACTCTGAGCTTGTGTGATACATGTGAAAGACTCAGAGACTTGTAAAGGATAAACAACAGCATCCTGAATTTTATTAGGAATCAGGACCTGACCATGCAGGCGGTTCTAGGTTCCCACTGTAGCACAATTATACCCAGCTTTGTTTGACAAGAGGATGCAGGCAATTACTGGAGGAAGAAGGGATTAAAGCCAATGACTGACCTCCATGGTACCCTGACCTAAATCCAATATCTGTGGCACATCATGCTTAAGTCAATTAGACATCCATATAATGATAGATTGCACCTCAGAGTGTCCAGGAGCTCAGCTGTGCTCTGGTATGGATAACTCGGGACAGGGTCCATCAGTTCATAATGAGCATGGTCTGATACAGGAACATAGGGTAAAACAAACCGCTGAGCGCCATGTCGGGTTCCATTGATCACATTTTAGGAAATTGGACTGGGATGCCAAATCATTTTTTTTTTCTTGATCATAAGATTTAATCATGAAGAAATCTATTTTCATCAAATAATGGGACTCTGTTTTGTTGCTAAAAACAAAACCCATTATATACCAGTATGAATATCCAGGATTTTTAATATTGATATAATTTTAAAAGTGTCCTTTGATTTATTTTGTTTTTAGCAGTGTATTTGGGAATATAGAGGAAGGAAGGAAGGAAGGAAGGAAGGAAGGAAGGAAGGAAGGAAGGAAGGAAGGAAGGAAGGAAGGAAGGAAGGAAGGAAGGAAGGGAGGAAAGGAAGGAAGGAAGGAAGGAAGGAAGGAAGGAAGGAAGGAAGGAAGGAAGGGGGAGATGAGACAACATATGGAAGGAAAGAGGGAAAAAGTAAAGGAACAAGGGTTATGAAAGAATATGTGGAATCCAAGAAAAGAAAAGCATAGGAAAGAAATAAAAATAGAAACAAGCTGTTACCCTAACGGAGATCGGTGAATCAACTTTGAATGCAAAGCTATCATTCCTACAAAACAGAAGAATTAAATACAACACTCTTAATTTTCAACCCCAGGCTTGATCATTTCCCTACAATTTTTCCAGGTTTTTGTCAAACTGTTTCATTACCTGTCAGATCCTCTGGTAGAATTTAAGAGTTTTCCAAGGCTAATGGTTCCAAGTTTGTCTTTCTGATGCATATAAACAATATATTCAGTTAAACAAGCAGAGCAAAGAAGTGCAAAAAGTCAACTCTTAGGTAAAGTCAAGACATTAATTTGAAGACTTACTCTACATGCAGGTATCACCTCCTTGTTAAAGATTGGTCTATCAGATAAAGAAATAAGAACAATCACACAGTATGGTACATATGGTGCTGTTCTATACTAACTGAGATGGGTTGATCTAAAGAGAGAAAATAATCCAGTGTGTTCCTTAATGAGCATACCTGTCTGTTAGCGGGGGGATCCAACTTGGAGAACTTTTATCTGAGCTGTTTTTTCTTAGGGTTTTGGTTTCAATCTCATAATGGCTGGAGATACGCTTCATCATGGTGGCTGTGACATTTGAGTCGCTCTAAATTAAGAGAATGAACGAGAATAATCCGATTAATTAAATAATTATGAATATTAAGAAAGCTTATTGAGATGAATTAAAACATGGAATTCCTACTTTTTCTTTGGTTGAAATTGCAGTTTTTTTGCAACCTTTGGCCTCAAATTCTTTGTGGTCCTCAACAGTTTTATTTGTGCAGGTCTTATCTGAAGCTTTTGTTGGACCAATGTCCACCTGAAGTGACATCTCTTCTCTTTTTGCGTTTTTTGAGAGACTGGTTCTCTGAGTATTTTGTATTTTTGGAACACTCTTGGAACCACGTGTGTTGTATAACTTTGTTTTGTCAGAGCCCCTTTTGGAATCAGAAGTTTTTCTCTGTTGATCAGTTGATTCCTGTCGGGGAGGATCTTTGCTCACATCATTAAGGACCTTCTGAAGGCGCTCAGTGAGTTCATTATGGAATTGCTGTTGGAGCTTAAGACTTGAGGCAGGAACTGACATCCGTCCTGAGGAAGTGCAGTGCTTCTGGGGTTCAAAAGTACCCCAATTAGGCTCTAAATAAAAGAAAAATAATAACACTTATAATTAGATCATCTGCATATTTAAGATTTGTTCATTACTTTAAGTCCACAATGCCTAGAGTAACAGAAATGAGCCATGTTGATATCAACTATTAAATGTCTTTACCCGGTACTGATCCCATTTTCTGAGTTGGCATTGTTAGCATTTCAGACATGGATAATTTGCTCCAGTTTGATTTCCTGCAACATGAAACAACAGACCTCTATTCATATGTTCTATTTATATGAACACTGTTTTTAAATTGCAAAGAGGCGTACTCTTTGACCTACGTGTTACATGCTGAGCTGGGCTGTGTGTCAGGTACAAAATAGGTCTCTGAAAGTAAAGTAGTCAGATAGAGCTTTAGGAGGCTAAACAATTACAGAAATGTTTTGGTAACAAGTTCAAGAGGAGGGAGATGGGGAGTCAATAAGTCATCTCCATGTCAAGTATTTGTTCTGCCACTGAGCCAGATGAGTCAACTTCACTTCACTGTGCAGATTGGACTCACCTGGTCCAGGGGATGGGTAGAACAAATAAATGACATGGAGATGACTCCATACAAGTTGGCTCCTTCCTTCCCCCTTTTGGGTTTCCTTTAAAGGGGGTTTTAAAAATTCCCTTGGGCTTTTTCCCTTCCTTTTCCAATTCCGTTGCGTTTTTTTGTTCCGGGGCTTGGCTTTTTTTTTAGGAATTGGCCTTGCATTCCTTCTTGATTGCCCCTTAATTTTTACCTTCCACTTTCCAATTGCTTTTTTTAATATAAATAAATAAAAGAAAATCATTTACCAGACTCAAATCTATAAGCTAACATCTTACACAAGTGAGATTTAATGCAGGGTTTTACAGGTTATAAATACTAGCTTTAAATTGTGTTACTTGTCCTTACATCCCCAGCTCTGTGGCTGTCAATATCTATATGTGGAAGTAAACTGTGTTCAAACCAAGACTTAAATCCTGGACTGTTCTTCACCATTAGTGTCAGTAAAACTTTGAGACAGTTCAAATAAGAGGAAATCAGAAAAGCCAGACTTGGACGCCCTATTCTGACTAAGGCACAACATGTCAAGACATGATTACTGAGTTTCAACAAAGGGACAACTTGCTTGCTTAATGACTATTGCAATACAGGTTCAACTCATCTGTGTTGCTGTACACACAGGATCCGAAATTAACTCCTCACTCACCAAATGTGACAAAATGTTTAATTTGGAGAGTTCATGCACGAGCAGCATCCGCCACAAGGCAAGTGAATGTTTGAACCAAAATTGAGCTTTGGTCACGTCCTTTCTTCTTTTATTTTGGTAAGTCTCTCTCTGTACCTGTGTCGCTCACACGCCAATAGACAGATGTACGTACAGTGAGCACACCACAAAGATGAAAACATTGCTTTACTCTGCCCATGCCATTTTAAAAAAGGCTACGCCTTTATATATGGACTACATAACAAATGAAAATAGTCTGCCGTTTTTTGGACGGGTTACGTTATGGTCATTCTATCAGATAAAAGTATTTTGCACTTTTTTGAATGAGATTGAATGAAATTCTTAATTTAAACTTTGTTTAATGAAACTACATTACTGTTAACTGCTACTTTGTTTGCATTAAACATAATGCCTTAAAGAGATAATTTGTTCCTTAAAATTATATGAGAAAACATGTATTTTTTTTTCTGGCCTGTAAAAATAATCCTTGGTATCAGGACTCCTGTTTTTGTGTTTGTGTTTCTGTGTTTGTCTCCCTTCATCCACCAGGAGGTGCCGGGTTCTGGTCCGCCTCCTCACACACCTGCTGATGGTTTCCTCGTTAAACGGAGTGTTCTTAAGCTGCTGACCGCCACTAATTCGCAAGCAATATGGCAACTATAGGAATTTAAGTACCGTATTTTCGCGACAATAAGGCGCATATAAACGTCTAGTTTACGCCAGAGTGTTTGCCAGTTTAGGGTACTCTAGCCAAGCTGAGTTTTTTGCTGAGTCAAGCTGAGCTTTTTGTCAACCTGAGTTTAACATTGTTTTTTTTCTTTGCCGCTCGGCAGGAAGTCATCCTGCACACTGGATGTCTCAGACCTTCACTCCCTGGAAGGATCAACTGAGCTTCAAACTGAGCTGGGATTCAAACAGGAGGTTTGGATCCACTTTCCCCAAAAGATTGTTTGAGCTTCTTACTGAGAGAGAGATAATCTCCACTACGACCCATTCAAGTACCGCAGGAAATCTGAGTGGCAGTCAGTTTCTTCGTTCACCAACTTTCAACCGCATTCTGGGTAAACCCTGTTCTGCCCTCCACTGAATCAGACAAACACTGGAACCAGAGCACAAAGACAGGAGTCAAGGATTTAACAACTTCTCTGGAAACGTGAGTTGGCAACCAAATCCTCTTCCCCACGTTCTCGAGTCAAATTCCCCACTGAGCCTGAACTAACCGCTGTGTCTTCCCCTCACTTTACAGTTCTGGTTGAGCAGTGTTCAGAGCAACACTTCTCCCTCTGCTAAACTTCTTCAATAAAACCCGTTAAACCTTTTCCCTGGTCTCTCTGTTCGGTTTTCTACATTTGGGTCTGAACTTTGTAACATCATGACACTTGGCTGGTAAATAATTTTGTCCATTGGTCCACTTGGCCAGTGAGTCAAACAGTTCATTTCGGATCCTCTGCGCCATAAGAAGACAATACAGTTGGGCGCAGAGTCCCTTGAGAAAGTATAGCAAAAATTGAGCACGGCGTTTCATTGCCAAAATGGGGGTAGACCAGTGCTGATAAAGTGTGAAAATTGTAACTTTTTTCATAATGAACATTAAATTTATTATGCTTTTATTTTAGTCAAAATTTATCTTTGAGTATTTTTAAACAGAGGGGATCAGAAAATTGTATTTAACTAAAAATTTTGGTCTGTATTGTCTTTTTAGTTTTAAAGGTTTACTCTGAAGGCAAATGATTTCATACAGCATAATGTCCTTTTTGCTTTATCGTTCTCATTGGTCATTGACAAACAAATGAAAATGGATTAGATCATTTGAAAATAAAAGCGTAGAGTTTGTGTAGATGTGTTCAATGGCAGAATATTTAAATTTGTGAGTGTATTTAAAGGCACAGATTGTAACAACTGATTTACAAAGGAGCCCTTGAAAGAAAGAAATCTTTAAAGGCTAGAGATCTGTTGCGTTTCCCCTAAATGTAAGATGAAGCTGTTTTGCTCTACCCTTCAGAAGCTCCTTGAGCTTATGCCCTACACTGAGGCACAAGTAATGAGATGAATCTCAGCCTTAGAGACTAAAAGAGGTAGGACACCGAACACATTTTTTTTTTTTTTTACAAAACCTGTTTTGAGGTTTATCCAATTTAGACTAACAAGAATTAATCAGAAAACCAAAAAATACTGTTATAACTAACTTTCCGCTACCAGGTAATTGCTGTTCTAATAAAATGTTTCTGTTATAGTGGAGCTATTATTATTAACTCCTGAGCTCAACATACAGTGCTTTTCAAAAATAAAAATATGCTTTGAACTTTTAAATATGTAGTGTCATCTTCTTATCTTATTAGTATTTTATGAGAGACTAATATCAAATGGTGCATAAATGAAGTTTTGTTTTGTGACAAACCTGCCCGCTCTTGTCAACCATATTTGTACTGTGTGGAGTTGTGTTAGTGCTGCAGTTCATGATAGTTGTGCCACACACAGAGAGCTTCACCATTGGGATCTTGCTGTTGTTTTTCGCTGTGATGAACAAAAAAAGAAGAGAAAATAATAACCATGCCTTGAGCTTAGGGGTGGAACGGTTCACAAAATCCATTTGGTTCGGTTCATGGTTTCGTGGTCACGGTTTTCGGTTCGGGTCGGTTCGGTATATGTTGATTGTTACACTGAAATCCCATAAAAATTAATGAAATTAATGAGAAAATCCCCAAAAATTAATGAATTGTAATTATTTTTGATTTTTAATGATCTGCGGAAACCCTGGATCATGTCCACATGTTTTGCTGCTTTGAATTTAATCATCTTGCGCATGCCCTCTACAATCTCCAAGGAACTCAGAGCGGAGCTCCGCTCCCATAGGCTGTAGGCTCCGCTCCCGTCCCACAGGCTGTAGGCTTTGCTTTGTGCAGCCGGTCTGGAGCGCAGCGGGGCGGAGTGCTGACGGAGTATGTGGGATTGCGGGGTTTGCCTGACATGTTGGTCATGTTGCTGTTAGCATAAACAAAACGTGTTGCACAATGCTTGCACACTGTTGCACTTTTATCCACAACTTTCTTTCCACCATCATCGTAGGTCACTCTAAATGCAAAGTGGTCCCATACAGCAG